ATCAGTACTGATCAGTCTCCATCTGAACACAACCTAGATGTGATAAGCAAGAAGAAATCGGTAATGACGAAATTTCAGGTTTTTAATTTGACACATATATCGTACGCTAACGACTTTACTAAACTATAAAAGCAATTAAACTATCATATGAGACCTCATGTACATTTTCAAATATTCCACGATTCATTTTTCATTTCGCACAATTTTTTTATAAATACGATATAAACTGTATTAAGCCTGTTTTATTGTTAATAGGATTCGTTTGTTTTCTGTGAATAAAACTTTTATAATTTGAAGATACGTTTGATAGTAGCAAGTTTTTTTTGTTGTTTTTTTTTGGCCTTATGATCTTTGCATATTAGCCATGACGAATTATTACATATGTTGTTCAAATTGGGGTTATCGGGAAAAAAGGGCCAGAGGCGACGTTGGGAATCGAACCCACGACCGCGGCGTGAGAGTCTCTCATGCTAACCACTCGGCTACCCCGAGTAGCAAGTTTAAATAATCAAATTACTTAACACATCGTTTTTATTCGGTTAGAAGTCGGTGTTTTGATAAAAACCCTAATACGATTATTGCTATTGTGTATTCAGTACTCCATTTCGTATTTATTGTTGATTCTCTACTACCTTTCCACCCAATTTCGTTGCAGCCTGGTCCAAACAAGCTTTCCGGCTTTTGATCAAAAAATTGCGGATGAAGCCCGCCCACGAAAGTGCGTAATGGAAGTCCATTTCGCTTTCCCCTTATCCCAGCTGATCTGCACAGCACACCAGAATTCATTTTTCACCCCCATCCGCTAAATATATCAGATGGACTCACGAGAGAAAAAAAATCTAAAATAAGTCTTCTGTCTCTCAAATTTGCCGGCTAACGACCACTCATCCGGCTTCCGTAACGAGAATACTTCTAGGCACTCTTGTGAAAACGAAAATTTTCAACGCTTTTTTTTAAATTTTGTAAATATTTAAATACAAAAAACGCCCAGAGTCATCATTTCTCTACTTTCGTTGTAAAATTTAAGTTCACTCTTTAATATAAACTATTCGAGTATATTTGTTATTTAATATTTTTACCTGAGAAATTATCGCCGTGGTACGTGCATAATTATTTTTGACACACAGAAAAAAAATCGTTCCTGATAGAAAATGTACACGTGCTGTTTTTAATGAAAGCATAATCCGCCCGAGCGTGGGCAACATTAAAATACGCTCACGAAACTTTCTATGCCGTGATCTAGCTAATATCCAAAGTACGTCGCACACTTCAACAACTTTCTTACAGTTTAGCGCGCTCGCGCGAGCACACACGCACACGCGCATGCACACGAACAAAAAAGAACTTTTTGCCCACATGCTAACGGACAATACATCAATTTCCCTCCCCTTTAATGTTTTAACATGAACAATCATTTCTCACATTAAGGATTTACATAAAATAATCACAACATAAACGCTGATCTAACCTAGTCTATCATAAAATACATTACTAATTTGTGAAGGTTTTTTAATGTTATAAAGTTCTATAAAAATAAATTTATTATAGAATAAGTTAGGTCACTATTGTACACTATCTTTTTTAATTATCTAGGTACATGAATTTTTAAGTGTTGGAACTTAGTTAATGAGCTTTTAAATCCATATGTTCCTACTTTTCGCGTATGATGGGACAGAATGATTTTACAACATTTTTCCTGGTTTTCTCAATAACATTTTATGTGTTATGCTCGAATTTGAACCCAGGACCACTAGCGTGAAAAATACTAGTCGAACGCCCTAACTACTCTGCCACTTAATTTGATTAATAAATGATTATGTAAAACCAAACAACATTAATCTGTGCTATGTTTTAAACAGTCAGATTGTAAGATTGTACATTTGCAGATAACTTAAAGGAATTTTTTTTTAAATCTCTTTATTCTGAGAAATAAACGTTAAGATATCATTGGTTTGTTATAAAAGTAGTGCTTACTAAGTTGAATTGAATTTTGAAGTTTTGTCACAAGGTTGTTTTTCAATAGTTACTAGAGTTATTTACCGGATTAAATTTTTGTTTTTGAGTGCTTCACTTATTTTAACATACTATAAATTAACAAATTAAGTCCACACCACTAAACAGCACGGTCTTATCGAAGTTCACGAAAAGATTCCGACTTATGGATAATCGTGGAGGGTGAGTACACCGACTTTAAACAAAAACCAAAGACGAATAGAAAAATAAAGTTCAGCATGCTATCGAGTAAGGGCCCAGTACACGAGTTCGGCTCCTGTGTGTGCATGTAAATTGGCATGTGTTTAGAGAAACCGCATGTTTGCATGGATCTAAATTGTCTCGATCGTTTCCGAGCCCACACCGATCAAAGCCGATACACACCAAAAATGCTTATATGCATCGTTCCACCCTTCCTTTTACATAGATTATAACCCTTTTCTGTGTAAATGGAACGTACTATGGTTTTCTTTTTAATAAATAAAAATGCTCTTCACTGTTTCAGCTAGGATTCTTTGAACCTTTTAAGGCAGACGTTTCCCCACGACTCTATTTCGTAGAAAAATATATTTAAAAACACAGTTTAGTAAGTTACTTGTCTAAAATGTACAATAACAGTTGTAACAATATCCAATATATAGAATATAAAAAGACATACCGAAATTAACATTGGGTTTTACGGCAAAACATAAAATAGCAAGCTAGATAAACCTTATTGCAATCACAAAGTTCCAATTCAATTTAATCAGTTCTCATGGTGGAATATTGCTCCTGGAACCAATTATTGTTAAAGACAAACAAGAGAAGTCCACCATGTTTACTAGAGGGCGATGTCAGAGTAAATCAGACGGGCTACCATCGCAGAAGAATAGAGTTTTGTCAAATAAGAATTTCATGCTTGTTTGATATTGCTTTTTCGGTTTTGTTTATAGGCTTTTCAATCAGACGGAAGACATTTCTTGTATATTTCTTAAAGTAATCAAAACTTTTGTTTGTCATTCCGAAATTCATATCTAAAAATTAGCCTATGCATGCCTTCATTTTAAAAATAAAATAAATAAAAAGTTAAAAAATAAAGTTTAATTACGCATAAATATAATTTCAGTCATCAGAATTTTAGCGGTGAAGGATTAAAAATCTTTATTTAATATAAGCCCATTTTAATGCGCAAAGAACCAAAATAAACTTATCTAGTTTACAGTCATATTAAACAAATACAAAAATAAGTCAATTTATTTATAAAAGAAAAATACCCACATAAATAAATTAAAATGTACTATGAAAACAAACACAAACTGATATTGTTCTATGGCATTTCTTGTTAAAGAACTCACTATCAGTGAGGAGTAAAATGTGAACGCATCAGAATGGTAAGTAAGAAAGAAAAAAGAGGAGAAAGTATGTATTTTTTATGTCTTTAAGATGAGAGAAAGAAAGAAAAGATTTGAGAGAAAGAAAGAGAAATAGAGGAATAAAGTAACAAAGTGAGAGAAAGTCAGGAGGTGAGTGAATGAGGCAGTGGCAGATAATGTGAAAAATGAGAGCTAATTAAAAAAATAGAAAGAGGGATAAATTAACAAAATTAGGAGCAATTTTAAAACTCTGTTAACCATTCAGCAAAAATCTATCATTTTATTTATATTAAAGACGTACGAATAAAAAATATTATTAAGTAACTACCATAAAACAAATTTTTATTTTTAGTTTATTTATTGCTAATGGAACTCTCAATCACTAAATGGTAAAACGTGAAAAAAATATAAATGATCGAATACGGTAAATTGGGAAGAAAGAAAAACGTAAGAAATGGTATATATGCACAGAGAGAAAAAGAGTAAGAGAGAGAGAGAGAGAGAGAAATAGTGTGTGTGTGTGTGTGTGTGTNAATTATCGTGGCCAATCATTACGGAAATTGATTCAAATAAATAATATTACTAGTTCTTGAAAGATTTATTAATAAAAACTTCTGATAAAAAAATTTCATTTTTCAAAAGTTCAACAAAAAGTCTGACAGTTTTCCTATCATATTAGCTTAATACTTGATCTTTTCATATAAAATTAAACCATAGTCAGAAAGATATAATAAAACTAACAGTTTTAGGCAAAAATCGTGAAAAAAAGCACATCATTTTAAGAAGCCAACGTAAATAAAGTAAGAAAGAGACATGTTTATCTCTCAAATTTCCACATTAATATACGACAATCGGGGAATTTTTGTTGATGTAATGTTATAATAAAGTGTTATGACAAATATATACATGTATCAAATTAATGCAATAATATAAATAATTAATGTATTCAAGTTAATCAAAGAAAACCATTTTTTAACGTATATTTATAATTTGTATAATTAAAATTAAATATTCTTGAATATCTAACAAATAATTTTAAACTCGTGAGCAACATTATGGGACAATTATTAGTATAAAAACCATGTTAAGTCTTAAGTGGAGGTAGGAATCAAGGGGCTTCTGATGCTAAACCAGCAAAACCGAGAACTCGTGCGGAAACGTTGTCCTTAGCGCCTTAAAATTTGTCAACGTATTTTGTCATATTTATAACTAAAAGTGAAAGGCATTGAAAACTGTAACAACTAAAAAATTGATATATTAAACACTTTAAATTTTCATTTATCTTATGTACTGGTATCAAAGAATCACTGAATTAATCGAAATAAAGGAATATGTGACAAGGAATTAACTCCAATTTTTAACATGGACAAAAACGAAGGCAATAGCAATGAAGAGCATATTAACCTAAAGAAAATGAAAATATACACACCCTCACAGCCATCACATTAAGATAAAATTATTAGAACAACACCTCACCGTAATTTCGCCACTGCTTTTTTGAACAAAAACTCACTAGTATATCTGTTTTTCTTAACGAAAAGAAAATGACATTAGAAAACCCATAGTACGTTCCAATCTGTTAAATTTTATTTTTAAAAAAATTTCAAACGATACTAATATATGTTTTTTCCTCTCTTCTCCGTTCCAATCATTCAGGACTTCACGTTGGATTTCTACTTCCGACAATTCTGGACGGACCCGCGGTTGGCGTTCAGGAAACAGAAGGGAGTCGAGACCCTTTCCGTCGGCTCGGAGTTCATTAAGAACATCTGGGTGCCGGACACGTTCTTCGTGAACGAAAAACAGTCATACTTCCACATAGCGACAACAAGCAACGAGTTCATCAGAATACACCATTCTGGGAGCATAACTAGGAGTATTAGGTGAGTCAGATTTATTATTATTAATTGTTGACATATGTAACTTTGAAATTTTATAAGATTTTGAAATTTAATTTTTTGGGATGGGCGATTTAGTAACAGATCTAAAGAAATTTTCCTTTTTTATTATCAACTTCTATGCCCATATTTTTAAAAGATGTTTGATCGAAGAGTTGCTGTTTACACCGATCCGGATTTCAAGCACACATTCATCATCAGGTTGAAGGAGTTACAAACACGTATATATTTTTAATGCCGCTCAATTTTGAAGTGCGATAAATGTGAACAACACAACTTAAATATTATCCTAATAAATACTGTAAGAAAATAATTATCAATTAGTAATTAATTTGTACGTAAAAAATTATTTAGGTACGTGTTTAGAGGTAATCTATTAAATTTCTTACACAAATCTAGTTTTTTCCTTTGTTAAAACTGTGTAGCACTGATGTATTTCCATTTAAATTTAAATTGAGTTTTGTTTCATTTAGATGGTCCTTAAATTAAGAAAATTTGTTCACTTGCTCACTCTAACACGTCATGTCGAGAGACGTATTACAAACCCCTTCAAACGGATGATGAGCGTTTAATGCTTGAAATCCGCATCATTGTAAAATACAAATCTGTCAATAGAAATATCATTTACAAAAAGTGAATCTATATACTCATCTCACCTTCATCATTGCGCTTGTTAATTGTAAAGTAACGTGTGTAGTGATTAGTGACCGTTAATCTATAATTATTCAGAAATCGTGAGATGCGGTCTGATGTGATGTAGATTTCAGAAAAACATTTTTTTTATCGTGCCACGTTTCGATCTTTATTGAGATCATCTTCAGCGCTCAAAGTGTAATTGTACCATTCTTGCGTATCGTGTTGAGAGTGCCCAAAGTAACGTCCATTTTTTTTAACAAGATCTATTTATGGACCAGTTACAGTCATTTTAAAATTAAAAAAGAACTAGTAATAAAACAAACCTAGTTGAAAAATAATACTTTATTGTAAAAAATATTGAGTCAACATAATTAATACACTAGTTTCAAAAAAAGTTTAGCAAATATTGAAACGAAAAAAAAATCAGATCTGGATTGGATTAAAAATCAGAACTTATGACTGTAACTGGTTCAAAAATAGATCTTCTTTAAAAAAAATTTTTTGGATGTTATTTTACAATTAACAAGCGCTGACATTTCCGAACATCAGGTGAAAAATATTATAACGCACATAAAAGTTGTAGGAAGTAAAATTAATTGAACAATATAAAAAGTTCATTTGATTATTTGTTTTTGACATTCAAATATAACAACTTTTTATTCTGGATCAAATTCGATGGAAAAAAAATCATCCAAACATTAATGAAACCAAGCAAAATCAATACAAAATTTGATTGAACAATCCCGACAATATATTTTTTTTAGTTAATTGTTTTGTGTCATATCTGTGTAAATCTAATTTTATGTGATCTTTAAATATAATATATATTCATTCTAAGTGTCATGTTTTATAAAAGAATTTGAAATATCTAGTTTAATTTACCAAGAAAAACGTGAATACAGGGCAAAATATAACTATCTGTATACAAAAGAATATTCAGAACAACAAATATATTAAATAATAATCATTATTTAACATTTATGTTGCTCGAACATATATACAACACAATATATTACATATACATATGCAAAACATATAAACAATCTATTCGTTGTTCAGAATATTTATTTTTTTATACAGATTGTTATATTTTGCCATGTTTATCACGTTTTTCTTAGCAAATTAAACTAGATATTTCAAGTTCTTTTCTAAAACAGGACATTTAGAATGAATATATATTATATTTAAAGATCATATAAAAATAGATTTACACAGATTAATTTGCCAAGAAAAACGTGATATACATGGTAAAATATAACAATCTGTATAAAAAAATGAATAGTCCGAGCAACATAAATGTTAAATAATGATTATTATTTAATATTACTTATTACCTACTTTAAGTTAGTTGTAATGTACTACAAATTCTAAAAAAATTAAATTAAATAAAATTTATAAGATTTTTCGGAATACGGATACGAATCAAAATCAAGATAAAAATTCAATATCTTTAAACAGACTTTTCCCTTTCTGAGAACAGTTATAAACAGTGAAGGGGTCGGCAGCGCAGTATGCTGGGAAAAATACGCTAAAACAATTCCTCTCCCAAAGGCTGCAAGTATCTTTACTGCAGAGTTGACCGCCATATCATCCGCACTGAGTGAAACTGAACACATTGGGTGCAACCCATATGTCATACGGACTTAGCCATCCGTAATATCTTCACCATGGACCCACTAATCCAGGCAATACAACAGAAAATCAGGGAAATACACGAACAAAGAAAAGAGGTAGTTATTGCCTGGATACCGGATGAAGGCATAGAAGGTAATGAAAATGCCGATCAAGCTGCCAAATGAGCAGTGATAATGCCACATGACCCGGACACTCCCGTGAGCCCAGCGGACGTCAAAAAATATATGAAGAATCTGTGTTGGCAAACATTGGCAGAACCACTGGGACAAAATGACCGACAAATTAAAAGAAATTAAACAGTCGGTCATGGATAGTATGCGCAAAACACAGAGAAAAATGTTGACCCGACTGCGAATAGGCCACACTTGACTGACGCATGGTCATCTCTGGGCGAGAAAACATCCACGGAGATGCCCATTGTGCGGCGCACAAAAACTGTTAAGCATTTACTAACCGAATGCCAACTATTGGCGCCGCACAGAACAAAGTGCGGCTTTCCTCGAGTAAGAAAGAGGTTTTACAACACAGCAATGACAACAGCAAGAAAGTAATCGAATATCTGAAGCATATGGTCGCCATTAATGCTTCTTCATACGTGGTTTCGTTTTCCCTTCCTGAAGTGAGTGTATTTATTAGCGAGAATGTGTGTGGGTGGGTAGTGGTCGGAATATCGAGTTCACCACAGACCAACCAAACTAGGATAGATATCTCTTTGTGTATTTTGGGTAGAATGAATGTATTTATTGGCGCGAAAGTGAGCATGTATGGGTAGGTTATGCGGGAATATCGAGTACTCCACAGACCCACCAACCTACGTTAATATTTTAAATTAATTGTAATTTTAACTGTACATAATGTCTGCTAGGCTAGGATTGAACGAAGAGGAATGAGATAGTTTCAGAGCCTTTTCACCACGTGGGTTGGAGAGCTAAAAATGTAGAAATAACGTCCCAGAACACAACCAGAAAGATCGCCATACTTCCTACAGAAAACCTACTTCAAAACAAAAAAATAAAATTAAAATAAATAAATTCTTAAAACGTGAGGTGGAAGAAATGTGAGGTGCCGGCAATAGCCCAGGCAGCTAGCCGGCCGGAGGAAAAAAGTTATAGAATTGTATAATGCCTACTTATACCACATGCAAAGGATTTTAAATATAGTCAAAAAAATAAAGAGGAATTAATTAAACATAATTAGAGAGCAGAGAGAGAGAAGTGAGAGAAAGAGAGAGAGAGAGAGAGAGAAGAATGAATTCTTAATGCGCCGGCTGAGTAGCCAGTCGAGCGTGTGCTCCGAGCCGAGCGCAAAAAGTTGTGAACTTGTTGAAAAATACAAAAGGAGTCGAAAGAGGTACGAAAACCGCTAATTCACTATCCTTAAGATTTAAAAGTCGGCATACTCAGACCGAGTGTTTGTCCGTTTATACAAATAATTAATGCCCGGAGATTAAAGATATAATTAGACAAGTTGAATTGAAGGTAGGCTCTGTTTCACTTACCATTTGTCGTCCTATGGATTAACTTGGATTGTCATGTTCTAACTTTGCTTACACTCAGATGAGATACTGTAATATACCGGATTAGTTCTTGTCACTCGAGAACTACAAAGTTATGTGATCATATATTAAATCAAATTGTTTGACTGGGGCTCAGTGTTCGGTTCTAGGTTTGCTGTAAAGATTGATAAGAATTTTTCCATTTTTGCAACATAACGCTTTTGATATAAATTTATATAATCGCAAAACAACAAAGTACTACATATTTAAAAACTAATCATAACGAACGTTAGTTTTTTTTCAAATAATTGCTACGCGTCCATTTAAAGGCGTTGCTTTTTGCTAACAAGATGTGAAGTTTGTCGAAACTAGCGAAACCTGACGCTGGGGAGTTGAGAAAATTTACATCCTTCTGACAACAATTTCCCGAGACATGAAAACTTATCAATTACTCAAAACGATACCGAAAGTTGTAGTGAAAAGGAAAGTTTAGATGTTGGGAACATCAAAGGATTTTGTCAAGACACTCGAGTCCTTTGCTTTAAAATTTAACATACGTAACATCAAAAAGTAGAAAGGGTAATTTTAATATAATATATTTCCAGTTAAATCAAAGTAAAAAAAAAATCAGAAATAAAAGAACTGTCAAATTTCCAAAAGAAAAATGTTTTGCATAATTTCCCCAAAGAGGCTCGGGGAAGACCCACGACGATTTTCAACCAGTACGTCAAACAAATTTTAAACTATTTCTATAAAAAAATTATGAAAAAATGGAAACACCATGATTTTTGAAAAATCGACTGCGAAGTATAACACATAAGATTCCTGATTATTGAAGTTTGTTATAATTGTTATCATAACTTAAAATTCATTAAATTCACTAATTTCGTGGTCCGCTTGACCAATTAATATATTACAATTAATTAAGGTTTTTAGTTGAGGTAAAAATTGAAAAATGGCAAAAAGGAGGGAAAATTCAAAAGGTGGGGTTGAGATGGAAAGTTAGTGTCCGAGTGGATCGAGGTCACGATAGCTCAAGTGGTAGCGGTGTATCAAGCCGAAGGTCGTGGGTTCGAATCCCGCTCGTGACATTGACTTTTTTATCACAACTAAAAACCTTAATTAATTGTAATAACTTAAAATGTAAGATTAACTTATCCTTGTCTTGTTTTATAAAAGGATTTACAGTCTAAAAATTATTAAGAACGACTACAAACCGAACAAAAATGTTTCAGCATTCACTAAAAAGTTAACTTGATAATTGGTTTCGACATATCTCAGTTACTCTGATTTCTATAAGTTCATCCAATATAACTTTTCATCCTGGATGTCCTTTTTTATATAAAGAAAAATAATAAAATATTAGTAAACATAAAAACAACACAAGGAAAACCTTAAAAGAAAAGATATCATAACAATAAACACAAAAGCTTTCTATTTGTTTTTGAGGTTTATACAATCCCTGCAACTCTGATTTTATAGGATCTTCAAATGTAAAATTTATTCATCCTGAATTTTATGTGTATAAAAAATTAAGTAAAAATGATAATAAACAAGTAAAAATCATACAAAATTGAAACCATGACATAAAAAGTTCCAACAAGAAACAATAAACATGAATAATCGTAACCAAAAAAGAAATTTTAAAGAACTAGATTGAAGTAAAATTTGTAAAAGTGGTCTCATTATAAAATTCATTTTCAAGTAGACATTTCAATGAATTCCCCGTTGAAATTTTCCCACTATAACACAACAGCTCTTGAATAACAACCAGCCGTAATCGATCCAAACCGAACCAGGTAGCAGATAGTGTTCTTCAGTGAGGTGATAATTATGCATGGCTTAATCAAGTATATTCAAGTTTCACAACCAGGAATCGGATTTTTATCAGCAATGGGAAAGCATTTGTTTTTTAATAATGAGAGTTGACTTAGTTTTCTGGTAGCGTTTATTTGTTTTGCTAAATATTATGCAATTTGATTTAGAGTAATTGATTTCTAACTGATTTCATGAAAATCACGTAGACGCCTTCTCGAACAGCTATACGGTACGCCAAGAGCATTCTTGAGGGGGTCGACGCGCAAAACAAAGTTCATCAGCGTAATTAGTAATAAGATGGCAAAATAGACAATTCACACGAAAAAGTGGGCCAAGTAAACTGCCTTGAGGAGCCCCCATGGTACATTAATAGCTGGAGATGATTTGACAGTGCGAGTAAGTTGTGTCGACTGTCGTCTCTGGAGATAAGAAGAAAAACAAGCCTTCGACATTTTTTTTTTTAAGTTTATCTATCAAAAGCATTCGATAGGTCCACGAAAGCACCAATTATCTCACCTCCGAGATCCAGCGCCTGTTAAATCGATTTATCATTTCTCTTTGAAATTTATTAATATATTATCGAGTTATTCTCAAGAATTTCTTTCTTCTATCTTAAAAGCAACGTGGAGATTAAAAAATCTTACTTTTTTTCAAAATCGCGCTTGGAGTCCGACTATTTATATTATTATTCAGAAATCGTGAGATGCGATCTGGTGTGATGTAGGTTTCAGAAAAACATGTTCTTTATCGTGCCAACGTTTCGATCTTTATTGAGATCATCTTCAGGGCTCAAAGTGTTTGTTTTCTGCGTAAGGTGCCATTTTTTCGTGTCGTGCACTCTCAAAACGAAAACAAACACTTTGAGCCCTGAAGATGATCTCAATAAAGATCGAAACGTTGGCACGATAAAGAAAATGTTTTTCTGAAACCTACATCACACCAGATCGCATCTCACGATTTCTGAATAATCATCGACTAACGGTCACTAATCACCACACATTTTTATATTATATTTGCCAATGTAGAGGTTCTGATTTAAATAAGTCTCAAATACTCCGACCATTCGACCACCGCCGTCCCTATCAATTGAATGTATTTTTGTACAGAAAGCAATTAAGCACGTTTCATAAAAAAAAATGCCAGGTGTAAAATATTTATAATTGACGCATTTGTACAACCAAAACGATTATTTCGTGGTGAATAATTCACTTCTTAAGTCGTATATATTGTCAGTTAGGTCCACTAACACGGGGGGTGAAAAAATAGGGCAAGAAACGCCGCAACCCTCGGCGATAAATATCGCTCTACAACCGGAGCCCGCATTGTAAAGAAACAGGGAAAAAACAAAACCCGGCTTCACAAATCGTTCATTATTCTTTTAGGCTAATGGGCGAAGAGTGGCCACCACGGGTCACGAACAGGCACGCTACAAGGAAGCAAAGACACTGAATTAGGAGCGTGTCTGATTCGGCAGTAATTATTTCTCGACCTGTCACAGCAACAATACCGGCAGACGGTGGCTAAGTGGAGGGCATCATGCAACGGATAGATCGCCCTGTTGGACGATAGATCAAGTAAATTAGGCTACCTCGCCGGTGAAACGCGGCCCATCGCTTTTGATTTATACCTGTCCTTCTTGGTGATGTCCGAAACAAGGCGAGAAGCTTGAAAATTTGAAAATTTAAAATCCGGAATTTGTCGGATAAACTTTTTCCAAGGCGTTTATAAGGTGGTATCTGGAAGGAAACTTTCTCAACATTGGAGTGCTTGTAAGGCGATACGTGAATTTGTCGTATAAACGCTTATTAAAATTAAAATATGTATAAAAAGCGAACAAAAGCTAAAATCTTTTACTTTTAAAATGCGGTCATACAAAAATTCACTAGCGTTGACTTCAATATTAAAAGACTCATTAAAATCCTATTTGCCTGTAATTGCCAGTTGCATCTTAATACAACCACTAGGTCTTTGTAAATTTCGTAATAAATGCTAAACGGAACTACTGTTATAACGATTATAGTCAATTTCATAACACATAAATAATTTAGTAATTTTACAAAAATTATATTACAAAAAAGTTTAAGATCTAGATTATTCAGAGATCGTGAGATGCGGTCTGATGTGATGTTGGTTTCAGAAAAACATTTCCTTAATCGTGCCAACGTTTCGATCTTTATTGAGATCATCTTCAGGGCCTGAGATTTACAAACATTGTTTTAATTTAACAAATACATGTAGGATGTGGAAAAACGTGAATTCATACAATGAAAAAAATAATTTTTAAGAAAACAAACACCGAGTGAGTAGAAATACTTTGATTGAATACAAAAAAAAAGTTTTTTGCATTGTATAAACTACTTTTTCCACATCCTACATGTTTTTGTTAAATTTAAACAATGTTTGTAAATCCCAGGCCCTGAAGATGATCTCAATAAAAATGGAAACGTTGGCACGATAAAGGAAATGTTTTTCTGAAACCACATCACACCAGACCGCATCTCACGATTTCTGAACAATTATCGACTAACAGTAACTAATCACCACACATTTCTTCGAATAAATTTGGTTTCAGAAAAGGACTGGGTATTCGCGATCTTATAAGGACTCCATTGATATATACCGAAATATTGAGAAGAGTGAACAGGTCAATTTGATATGATGTGACTAATCCATACGGTCCAGCATGAAACTTTGCTGTCTAAACGCTGTTTCTATGATATAAGAAGAACATCCCACAAATTTTATAAATTGCAGAAAACTTACGACTGTTAATGGGACGTCTATAATTACAATTTTAAATGGCTCTAACGCTACTGACTTCTATGGTATGTCTACACTTTTTACAAAGAAAATATATAATAATTTTGTGTTTATCTAACCCACTTTGGTTAACTTGAGTTTTGAACAAAGTAGTTTCCCGAGTGTTCGAAAAATGTCTAAGGTGGTACCAAAGTTCAAAAAGGAGTAGAAAGAATGTTGAATGTTTCCATTCTATTAGGACCGATACTGGCAAAAATTTTTGAAAAGGCATTTCTTTTGAGAATGCAAAATTTTTTAAATGAGCCTTGATCTATTCAAATAAGATTATTCAGAAATCGTGAGATGCGGTCTGGTGTGATGTAGGTTCCAGAAAAATATTTTCTTTATCGTGCCAACGTTTCGATCATTATTGAGATAACCTTCAGGGCCTGGGATTTACAAACATTTTTTAAATTTAACAAATACTTGTAGGAAATGGAAAAAAGTGAATTTGTGCAATGCAAAATATATTTTTTATATTCAATCAAAGTATTTCTATTTATGATCTAGTCTCCACGAAAGGCAAAATGATGATAAATAGCTATAAAATAATCATTGCTTCAAACTGCTCCCAACCTTCATTTTACTGGATTAAAAAACTGAAATAAATACGCTACTGAATTGTAAAACAATAGACTGTTTTAAACGTTTAATACGATTTAAATAGGCTTTTTTCTCACATTTATTTAATATTTACAACTACAACTATTGTATTAGGTAAATATGTTCTTATATGTTGAATTTACCATTTGAGTCTCTTGTAGGAGAAGCTGCTTAGTAGCAACACTCCTTCACACTGAAAATTTTTCAATTTTCACTCTTTGAAAACGTCTCGGGGTGAATTTCGCTCCAATCGCCTTGGAGGATTTTCAGGAAGGGTTGAAAGTGATTGATGAAATTTTTGTAGCTTACTTTATTTATTTTATATTTGAAATAGGCTTAGTTAGAAAATACGATATTTCCAAACATAAATTTTATTTCAACGTGAGTCTATTTACAAACGTGTATATCTCAAGCTGTGCTAAATGGGTACGAATGTATCTTACAAAGGCCGTGTCGTCTTTTCTAACTGATCGTTGACACACATGTAATGCTCGATGTACTCCATGAAGCCTTTCACATTCGGAGGTGCCTCGCCGTAGTTGTTCTTGATCGTCGAAAGAAACTGGATCCCGTAGAACGCCTTTTCTCGGTCGATTTTATTCGGCCCGTTCGACGCCACTTGTATGATGAGGGCGAGTGCCTGTGCCATTCCTTTGATGAGGTTGTCATCAGGGGAGACGTTTTTATTCCATGCGTTCAGGCGATCCATGTCGTCGCATTCGGCCGACCATTCGTCATTGGGCGAGCACTTGGGCATTTCTGCCGTCGCCATTTTCTTGGCTTCATTAACCTAAAAACAAATGTAAACATTATATAAAAAGATGGTTACTTTTCGTAACAAAAAATTACCGAAACTATTCAAATTTATTTAAGATAATAATTGGTTCATTTCCCTCTCACTCTCTCACTCTCCCTCCCTATCTNCTCCCTATCTATCTGTCTATCTATCTCTTTCTTTCTTTATCTCTCCTCCGTCTTTCTCTCTCTCACTCTCTCTCTCTTATGTGCATGGGTTTAGGGATTCCGTTTTGTCGAATCCCTCTCCTTTCCCGTGGTATAACGTACCGCATCAAAATATGCGTTTGCGAACCGGGGCTGGAATTTGGTTTGTAAGGAAGAAAATGCTTTTTTACTTCATGTATTTATTTACATCTACAACTGTAAATAAAATAAGGAAGTATAAATTTCTTCTTAGCAAGGGGCTTGGATAAAATCCCACATGACGGATAGGTCGTGAGGGCTTAACATAGCGAAGCGCCGTATTCCGGACTCCATATATATTTATTTTGTTTTATTATTATAATTTTTTGTAGGACAAGATATAATTTCAATAAAAATTGGATCGGGTAAAATTATATATTTATCTCCAATGGAAATTTTGAATTCCTCCTTTTAATAGAAAGAAACTAAGTTAAATTGTATTAATCGGTATCTCAACCATATCAATTTTTTTCGTTAAATTTATTTCATTGGAATCTATCATCTTCACTTTAATTCTTAACTATACAAAAATAAAACTAATCTGATTATTTGGTAGTATTTAATTCTTTATTATACCAAAATAAAAAGGAAAACAACAACTGAGTGAAGAAAATGAGCTAAATATAAGGGTTTTTTTTAATTAACCAATGGTAATACCAAGTTTAAAAAAAACTCCTCATTTTTTAAAGCAGCCTTTGGCTAATTAATGAAGGAGAAATTGCTCTGATTTGGAAAGTGGCCAAAATTCCAGGGTACTCCTAGTATGTTTTTCCCCGCTTGGGCCGGTTCATTTTACGAATTTGTCCAACTGAGTTATCTCGATCAAACCTACTTATGGCAAAGGGTTTGTATTAATTCACTTTTTTTATACATATTCACAGCCATAATTTTCCCTTTTAAAACAAATGCACTAACGAGTACGATAATTTCTTGTTTTGCATTCAAAAGGAATTCGAGGAACGCGACGAAACTCGAATACGTCGTCTGATAAGAGTTCATTCGTGCTAAAGAAAAATAAAGCACCTAGAAGATCATGCGTGCTTACCACAACTAAAGTCATAAACACGTTTAAATTAAAAAAAATCATAAATCGCCGAATTTTCCTGGATAATTAGATAAATTGGAAATAATACTAACTTCATTTTTTTCCTGGTATGCCGCTTGGCTTACTTTGCTGGTGTTCATCGCTGCGGAATCGACTTTTTTCAAATAAATCGGATTTCCAGGACGGGGTTGGGGATTCCAACTCTTGTTTTTATCCGCCGACTTGACTGGTGTTTTAGGATCTGGTACTTTAGCCATGTCTAAAAAAATAAATGGCAAAGATATCTCACTGTTGTTTTGAAAAGCAAAAAGAAAAAATAACTAATTCTAAAATTTTAATTTTCATTGGATTTAATATAGCAAAAATATTCTTAACATTATAAAGAATATCGTGAAAAAATCTGTAATATGTAACAGTTATCGGTGTTTAAATTACTATATTATTTTGTAAAAAAATATTTTTCCTAAATCGATTTTTACATCCAAATATACATTTACAATAAAATAAAATAAATAGCTTGGCTTGTGGACTTTTAATAAAGACAATAATCTATTTTCTTTGGACTTAGATGATTTGAACTTAGATTTAGCAGGTTACTAAAACACTCCCAATGCCCTTGATAAATTTTTTGATATAATCGTTTCCTGAACAGAAACTGAAAACAAATCTTTTGACTTTTGCTTAATACACAGAAGTAGTGACTAAGTTCATGTAAAGTTATTAATATTTTATTNTACACAGAAGTAGTGACTAAGTTCATGTAAAGTTATTAATATTTTATTGACGTGGTAAATATTCCGCTAGGGTAATGATGTGATTCATACATTTAATAACATTAAAGCCGTACTCCTTTTTAAAAAGATAGTTCCTACTCACAATACTTTTTTTTACTAACGTTTAATCTGTTAAGTACATTTAAATCTTTATTATAAATTGAGGCTTTCATGTTCAAAAATTAACAAATCAATCTGGTTCAATTCTCAATGTTTGAAATTAAATCTAACTTCACTAATTTCGTGGTCCGCTTGACCAATTAATATAATACAATTAATTAATGTTTTTAAATGAGATAAAAAAGTCAATGGCACGAGCAGGATTAGAACCCACGATCTTCGGTTAGATACGCCGCTGCTCTACCACTTGAGCTAACGTGACGTCGATCCACTCGGACACCAACTTACCATCTCAAACCCACCTTTTGAATTTTCCCTCCTTTTTGCCATTTTTCAAACGTCGTGTAATCGGATTGGATTCTCCACGACAAATGAAATGGCCACGGAGAGCTTTAGTGAAGTATACTTCATTTTAAATCATTAAATTCACTAATTTCGTGGTCCGCTTGACGAATTAATATATTACAATTAATTAAGGTCTTTAGTTGAGATAAAAGAAAAATGACAAGATAAATGATAGATGAAAAATGGCAAAAAGGAGTTAAAATTCAAAAGGAGGGGCTGATAGGGGAAGTTAGTGTCCGTGTGGATCGAGGTCACGATAGCTCAAGTGGTAGAGCAGCGGTGTATCTAGCCGAAGATCGTGGGTTCGAATCCCGCTCGTGCCATTGACTTTTTTATCTCAATTAAAAACCTTAATTAATTAAATCTAACCCCAAAATTCGTTCTTGCTAAATTAAATATTAAGAACTGCTCAGCTCTCTTACAACCATTTTAAATAATAAATTACAGAAATTGTACAGTCAAAGAGAAACAAAACGTTTTTATCAATATATTGTACACATTAGGTTTGCGTCATTATTGTCTCCAGTAGAATGGGAAAAATTCGATTATGATACGCGATCAAAAATTAAATTTATCATTGATAAAAAACAAAGTATATTAGATTCTAAAAAAATTAAAAACTTAAAGTACGGTACACTTAAAAATAAAAATACCCATAAAGATCCAAAAACTCCAGTTAAATTTTACCCAAGGGTTATAAACTTAACAAACATGGGACTANTGGCACGAGCGGGATTCGAACCCACGATCTTCGGCTAGATACGCCGCTGCTCTACCACTTGAGCTACCGTGACTTCGATCGCCCATGCCACAAACTTCTCATTTCGACTACTCGATTTTATTCTAATTATAAGCAAATCAAGGCTTCATATCGAAACACTTTTTATTAAATATTATACTAAATTAGCGGGACTGTGTACGATTCACAGGTGTGATTCTAGATTAATACTAAATTTTATCGGCTTCTATTAAATATCAATTTATTGCTATACATTAGCGGCTGAAATTCAATATTTCCCACGTACAATTAGGTCTATTTATAAAAAGTTAAAAAGTAACAACAACGTTATTTTAACATTCGCTAAATTCGTGGTCCGCTTGACCAATTGATATCTTTCAATTAATTAAGGTTTTTAGTTGAGATAAAAAAGTCAGTGTCACGAGCGGGATTCGAACCCACGATCTTCAGCTTGATACGCCGCTACTCTACCACTTGAGCTATCGTCACCTCGATCCACTCGGACACCAACTTCCCATCTCAACCCCACCTTTTGAATTTTCCCTCCTTTTTGCCATTTTTCAAAGGAATGTCGTTATGATTTTTATGATATTTTTTAATACATTCGAAATTTTTATTAGCTCAAAAACTCAAACTACATTAAAGCAATTTTGTCCAATAGACTTTCAAGGCTTTACACTTTAAATCGCTTGATTACCAGTCTATTCAAAATAAACTTAATTCATCAACCTGCCATTCTTTCTACAGTAAATAAGTAAATTATGTCAGAACTGTGAAGTGTTTAATTGATAAACAAAGTTGAATATACCAATAATCATATGTTTGTTTTTCATGAAACTTTCTGTGCTGTTACAAAGAGTAGAATATTATCATTATAAAAACAAACAATTCCTGTTGCCTTGTAAAATGACAATCACGTAAAAGGTTAGGGTAATGATCCCAAATTAAAACTATGCTGTTCATTTTTAAACAACTATCTATAAAGGAGAAAACAAAGCACATATGATAATGTTAAAACGTCCTCGATGGAACTTGTCGACGTGGAATTGAACTAGGTCTCACCTTGATTGCTTCAAAATACTGTGCCGACCCAAAGAGAATTTTGAGAGTTCTTGAAAATTGTCAACACTTGAACTACGTGGAATTTTGCCTTGGTTTATCAAAATTGAGATGAAGTCAGATGGTGAAACCTTTTCATAACAAATTTTAAAAAACTTTTTTTTTAAATGAAATTGCTCTAAGCAGTTTGGTCATTTCCGAACATCCTAGACTAACCACAATTCACTAGTTTTCGCGGTACGCTTGACCAATTAACATTTTTCAATTAATTAAGGTTTTTAGTTGAGATAAAAAAGTCAGTGTCACAAGCGGGATTCGAACCCATGACCTTCGGCTAGATACGCCGCTGCTCTACCACTTGAACTATTGGAACTTATCCACTCGGGCACTGAAAAATGGCAAAAAGGAGGGAAAATTCAAAAGGTCGACTTGAGATGGGAGTTAGTGCCTGAGTGGATAGTAGTGCCGAAGGTCGTGGGTTCGAATCCCGCTCGTGATATTGACTTTTTTATCTCAACTAAAAACCTTAACTAACCACAATGTTTTGGTAGGTTAGATGCGTTTCCGGCATTTCGGCAGTTCTATGCAGTTGTTATTACAATTTAAAAAATGTGTGATAAAACACCAACCTCTGAATATGGGACATAAAATAGTCTAAAAATGTAATAATTAATGTAACATGATTAAGTTGAAGTATATATTACGTTTTAAAAACTATAAAATTTCTTAATACTTTTTACAAGTGAACTCTGCATGAAAGAGATTTTAATGAATTTTTTTTAATACTAGTTCACAAATATTAGACATGTGTGTACCTAGAGCATTCCTAGCAATGAACCCTAGGAATAGAAAAAAATATATTTTATGTAATTTTAAATAGTTTTATGTTTAAAGATAAATGTTGTGCACGTATTTCAAGATTATTACTTAGCAGCCGATTTGTTCTTTTCTCTATAATAAGAAAATTGTACTAATGTATATTACATATAAATTTCCTACAAAAAAATAATATTTTTGTACATCCTTGCCTGCTGTCAAAAAAAAGCTTGTCCTAGTCAGCAGGGGTTTTTTTCTTTCTTTGTAAGTTTTGAAATTATGAATAATGATCCTATAATGATCCTAAAATATTGCGTAGTTTTACATTGTAAAAATGTTAATTAGCCAATGAATAGTCTCTTGTGTTCTATTTACTGATGTAAATAGTTACAAGATAAGATTTTTAGGATCAACTTATGATCAACAGATTCGAAAGCCTTTTTAATGTCCAGAAACAACCCAATAATATAATCACCTTTATTACCTTCTAGTGAAATCAAATTAATAATATAAATTATATTGAAATATAATAGAATAAACGCCTGTGACACAAATTTTTCATTTCGAAAAAATTGTGATTAATTATCTGAGTAATTGTGTAATTAAGAATAAGTCTTATGATTTTTCCTTCTTGAAGGTGGGATAATAGGTCATCTCAAAAAACCACAACAGTTTTTATCCACAACGTTTCGGATTTATTTTAATCTTTCCTCGGGTGAGTTAACGCAATGGTTAAAAAAGTGGTCGTCAGTCATTAATATTTTATAACAGTTTATTTTAAAAAAGAGCCAGTGTGGTACTTGGCCTCTTTTTTAAAAAAAGGCTCTTTTTTAAAATAAACTGGTATAAAATATTAATGACTGACGACCACGTTTTTAACTATTGCGTTCACTCACCTGAGGAAGGATTAAAATAAATCCGAAACGTTGTGGATAAAAACTGGTTTTGGTTTTTTGAGATGACCTATTATCCCACCTTCAAGAAAGAAAAATCATAAGATTAACTGTTGAGGTCGAAATATAAAACACATCGTTACTCTAATCATGGGAGATTAAGAATAAGGCGATAAAATAATTAAACAATAATATATTTAATTAATCAAATAAAATATAAAAGTTACAAACATGAAAAACTTATGTTTTATAAGCAGTGTCCAACTAAAAATCTGAATGTCCATAAGATTATTATAGTCGAAACATTGAATTTCCGTTGTTGAGCATATTAAGAGTATTAAGAAAATTTTTAGGATAGTATTAAAATATATATAAAAAATACGAAAAACGAAAAGACGCTTCAAGTAAAGGACACCAACAAAAATTATTTTGGAAAAAAAATCATTTGGTTTCGCTTATTACGTTTCAAAGCCTTTAAATAAGAATTTTTCAGAGCACAAAAATCTGGACATTT